CTGGAGGGCCACTGTCCTGCCTGTTTTCCAACTCTCCTGGCTGCAACACACCTGATTCAGATGATCAGCTCGTCAGCCATCTCTGAAGCAGCATTAGAATGTTCCTGATTATTTGAATCAGGTGTGTTACTCCTGGGAGAGCTGGAAAACAGGCAGGACAGCAGGCCTTGCGGACCGAGTCTGGACATCCCTGACTTCAGCCTTTTGGGTTTTTTTTAAACCGTAAAATGAACTCATAAAATAAGGAATATTTGGCCAAGGGTGATGTGTGTGCCAAGTTTCATAGGTTTTCACGATTGTTAAAACCATCAAAATTTGCGTCATTTTTCTTGGGAAACAGCGGGTCGCCACGGCAACAACATCCAGCAAAATTAAGAGCGTTTCTTTCCTGGTCGTACTGAACCTCTTTGGATGAAAGACAATTGGATAAAATCTCAAGGAGTTTTTCAAATTTACAAAAATAAAATAAAAGGCCACAGTGGTTCCAAATGAGAACGAAAATTCAAAATGGGAGACTTCCTGTTAGCTTTCGCATCTTACTCCCGGAGACTTTTTTGGCGATGTTGGGTGATAAATTTAATCGATCTTGGTGACACAAACAACAAAGGCTGCTTTGCTAAAAAATTGTAGCAGGTGTTGTTGAGCCATTTTCTTAAAAATCACACAATAACCAAATAAAACTGTTATGCCTGATGTGTTTGCAGACTTATGAATTTTTGTTCATGTTTAGTGAACAGCGGGTTGCCAGGCAACACAGTTTTTGCAATAACACCCCACCCCAGTCATATTGGATTTACAAACTCTTTTTTTTTCCCCATGTTGGTGTCCCAGGGCTTAAGATGTTATCGCCATAGTTGAAAGTCAGTGTCCCAGGAAAAATATCACAGACTAAAAAATAATTCCTCATCCCTCGGCATCCCCAATGGGCAGGCCTTATTGGCCAAAATATTCAGTATACCCGGGATTTTCATTCGTAGGCATCCCCTATGGAGCGGCTATATTGGCCAAATTATTAGGAACAATCCGGCTTAATGTGTGCTAGCCTCCCCAATGTGTTAAGGAGACCCAGGATGCAACCTTGCGTGTTTCTTTTCTTCCTTCCTTCCTTTTTCCTTGCTTCCATGGTTGTTTCTTTTCTTACTTCCTTTTTCCTTGCTTCGTTTGCTTATTAGTTTCCTTGTTTCATTGCTCTCTTCCTTCCTTATTTGCTTGCTTCCTCCCACAATTTTTTTCAATATGCATGTCAAAAGCCCAATATTACCATCTTATTTCTATCTATCATCTATATTATATTGCACTTAATTGAACGGTGTACATTGAAACTGTAACATTTATTTTGTGAATTTGTGAATGCATACACTTTGTTTTTCTTTTTTCTTCTTTCTACCCACAATCTTGCTGCTGTAGACTGTAAATTTCCCCAGTGTGGGACAAATAAAGGATACCTTATCTTATCTTATCTTCTTTTTGTTTGTTTTTACTCCTCTTATTTCCACATTTTCTGACCAATGCAGGCCATTCAAAATGTTAACTGTTCAGCCTATTCTTAACACTATACATTTTTCAGAATTCCAAAATAAAAGCCAGTAATTCACACTCTTTTGTTTGATCCACTTTTTTCAACAGTTTTTGACATATTCAAACCATTACACATTCGCCATGTTCTGCATATTCTTGTTCATTTGATCATTTGATGTCATTCAATATTTTTGCACATCATTCAATATCGTTCCAAAAATTTTACTTCAGCCTCTCAGCCTTTACATGCAATTTATCCAGAAATTGCATTCTCAAGTTATTATTATTAATAATAATAATAATAATAATAATAATAATCTGTTTTTTTACAAATGTTGCATGTTATGTTTATTATCGTGGCTCTGATTTGCTTTTGGTAAAGCTGCTGCAACTGTTGCTCGAAACAGCTCTCATTTTTATGTAGTGAAGTCCGATATGTTAAAGTCCTCCCGCAGTACCAAACGGCATGAATATAAATGTGTTATTCCTTTATTTTCATCGTCTCTATCTCTCCCCTGGTCTTGTCTCTTCCCACTGTGCATTTGTGTTGCGCTCTTTGTCAAGATGGTGAGTATGTTTACACATATTGAGTTGATATTTTGGCACTTTTGGCACAATTCTCACTTTTCATGGTGGACATTTTGAATTCTTGAATAACTCACAATGCAGAAATTTACAGGAAAAACGAAAAAATATTGTTGTCTGGGGTATGTAGTCATGGAATTTTTTGGGGGGGGTTTGTTTGCCACTTCAAGTGTCAGGTATCCTAAGTGAGAACGATCCACACGACTTGCAACTAAATAATAAACTGCATCCAAAGTGTCCAAAATGAAAGTCGAGTAAAAACTACTCGGAATAGTCGCTTATTCCTTTAGCATCAGATGCTATGAGCTGTTTTCCCAGCTTTTATTTTTACATCTTATTTTCTATTTTCCACACACTTTCCTCACATCGTCTTCCCTACCTTATGTTTTGCATCCGGATGGAAAGCATTACCATCTTTTGCCTTCCATTTCCCTCTGGTAGATAATATTTTTTCCTGTTATTGCCGTGTCTTCACATCCCCCTTTTGGCTTTTTTTTCCCTTCCCTTCCCTCTGGCAGATAGTATCGACAGTGACCTCGAGCTCTCCATGGTACGTCATCAACCCGAGGGTCTTGAGCAGCTCCAGGCGCAGACCCAGTTCACCAGGAAGGAGCTTCAGTCCCTTTACAGGGGCTTCAAAAATGTAATCAAAGGTTTCTTCTCTTTTCTGCATGTGCACTACAATGCTGAGCTTGAGCTCTCACGTGATTAAAACCGTCCGCGGTGCGTGCTAATGCATGTGGGGAGTTGCAGGTTTTTAGTGCACTTTAAATGAATTAAACTGTAATTAACGTGGAGACAAAGACGACAAGTCAGCTTTGCCAAAATACATTAAGGATCCGTGTCATGAGTTGTGGTCAGGAACCATTGCCGTAAGCAAAACCACGTTGCTTATACAGTGGAATTTCTAATGCCCGACGCAATCTGTACCGAGACACCTGCATTTTTTTTTTGAGTGAGTTTAGCACTCAAAGTTGCCACAAGATGGCGCCAAATCCCGGCTTCCTGTTAAAGTATATTGAAGTAATATGACAAGCGAGAGACTAACATCTTTGTAAGTCTTTAGGAGCTACGGTAAGTTTAGCCTGTGCTTTTAGCGGAGATTCGACACACATTACAAGAAAATTTGAATATTTCCCTTCCCACTTGTGTATTTCACTTATTGTTAATCATTCCTCTTTCCACAAAAAAAGGAATGTCCCAGTGGGCTTGTGGATGAAGAAACATTCAAGACCATTTACTCACAGTTCTTTCCTCAAGGAGGTAAACGTGATGATAAATGTTAGTTTTGACTGACATCATCAGCGATGGTTTATTGATTGGTTTGCATTATATTGAGGGCTGGGGTTTTTTTTTTCCTATTGTATTAAAATGTGCAACCTTCTCTTGCTTGCCTCGTTTCTCAGATGCCACCATGTACGCACATTTCTTGTTCAACGCCTTCGACATGGACAGAAGCGGCGCCATCCGATTCGAGGCGAGTTTCGCGCCCCCTTTTTATTTACAATTTTGAAGACATTTATGAGCTAAACAAATTATTTTCGCAGGACTTTGTGCTGGGCTTGTCCGTGCTGCTTCGAGGTTCGGTGACGGAGAAGCTGCGCTGGGCCTTCAATCTCTATGATATCAACAAGGACGGCTACATCACTAAGGAGGTTGATGCAACTTCTACCCTGTGTGAGAAATGTGGAGCCAAAACACGGTTACTCAATTCCAGCATTGGGAATATATGAATTATTGTATCTAGGATTATATATTAGTTCTAAAAAGTCTACACACTGCTGTTCAAATGCCACCGTAAATGTGACATGAAAGAGTGTCAGGAAAAGCCGACTGGAATAGCGCACCCTCTGCTGGCCACAGGCTGCATTTGCAAGTGACACAATTCCATGTTTTTTTGTTTTGTTTTGTTTTGTTTTTTTTTTGCTTCCAAATGGCATCATTCTGATATATGATGCATTTCTTTTCAATGCCAAAATGTAATGGCAGTGTTCTAGCTCCGTGGAGAAACCCTTACTACCGAGACTGTTATGATTTCTTGAGTCACGTTTCAATTGTTTTTCTTGCAGGACATGTTGGCAATCATGACATCCATTTATGACATGATGGGCAGGTACACCTTACCGAGTGTACGAGAAGATTCCCCATATGAGCATGTGGAGAAATTCTTCCAGGTACGCTGGATTGTTTGGTCGAATCCTTGTTTTGAATGAATACATGTAAACAAATATTTTTTTTTCCAGAAAATGGATCGGAACCGTGATGGAGTGGTGACCATGGATGAATTCATAGACACCTGCCAGAAGGTAAAACCACAATACCAGTCAGCGTATGCGGCGTTGCGCATTACATCTCGTTGGCGTTTTGTCTTTGTAACAGGATGAGAGTATCATGTCTTCCATGCAACTCTTTGAAAACGTCATCTAGCTTCAGGAGGAACTGGAAACGTCTTAGCGATCACCGTAGGTCCCCACCCCCCTCATATATTGGCCGTAGTAGCTGCAGAGAATACTAGGTGCCAATTAGAAGTCAGGTGTTTTTAGGGCAGAAGAACTTTACTTTTATTTTCAATTTTATCTTTGACAACTAAATGACACTTCTAATTCATGACATCACATATGTCTGTATGTGCCCTATGATTGACTGGCAACCAGTCCGAGGTGTTAATCTAGCAGCGTAAGAATATGTGGTCAAGCCGAACAAGAAGGCACACTCAGTGATTACCTTACTTATGTTCATTTGTTTGTTTTGTATGTATGGCTTACAAATTATTTCCTGTAATTGTGACTTCACTACTGCATGAGGGTAGTTTAGTGAGTCGGTAAATACAAATTCAGGTTACATCACCATTGTAGGAACAGAATCCCATCGTAAACCCAGGTCACCATGTACTGATTAGTTGGAGAGGAGTTTTTGCCCTGTTGGGTTTTTTTTTCTTCGTCACATTGCCGTCTGGTGCCATCTACCTCTTGCATTTAATATGGATGTAATCAAAGTTTTTTTTTTTGTCTCTTTGTTTTCGCACTGATTTGTTGTTTTGCATCTCAAGCTGCATAAATAAATGTGTGTAGACTTATTTGAGATCAAATCACTCTCTTCCCTAGTGCACAACACAGAATCGTATGTTCATTTTTACAATCAAGTAATTAGAGCTAAAAATGAATACAACTGATCTTTATGCAGTCTTTGTTGTGACAAAGGGGCTTCACATGATGACATGAACAAGTGTGTGTCTGTCGCCAGTTTCCCCTCAGAGGCAAGATGATAGATATTAAGGAACACTGCCAATAAAAGGGGTGGGGGGGGGCACAGACTAGTGTTTTATTGAACAGAAATGTCTGTTAACAATCAACTCTGTTGTTTTACATCCTGTATGCAGCAAAACATGCCGTGCAAACGCAGCTCTGATTCATGAAGTCATGGTTGTCTGCTGTGTTCTGTAAGATGAATCATAGGCCCTGAAGCCACTCAAGACTTCCTTGTGATTATGAAGAGAGAATATCAAACAACCAGCAAGTGGTCTTTTTTCAGTGGGTGGATATGGAGTAGGAAAGCTAGCTAGCTAATTTAATGAGCAACACTTACATAATTTTATACAAAGTTTTCCATTTTAATCAGCGTGCATGTTTTTTTTTTTTCCGAGTTTCCTTGGGAAAGGTTTTGTCCTTGAACAACTTAACGAAGACCACATTTTACAGTCTGCTCTTGGGAAATATATAGGAAATTGTGGAACATGGGGCACGGTTCAAAGATGTTTATGGTATATAGTACATTGCTTTGTCAAGTGAAAAGGAATGTTTTCTAAGTCACACAACAGAAGTGCCAAATTCACTTTACAGGGTCTTTTTAATCCTAATCGTCATGTGTAATTATCAGCTAGCCTTAGTGCTAACAACATGTCAGTATATGTTGTTGATCGCAAACGTGTGCAGTGTCACACCGTCCCCTGTCTGCATATATGCTGAATAATGGCACATGGCTGTGGGAGGTCAGCAAAAATCATTCAACCTGTACTGTATTATTCCTCTTTGGCCAATAGAAACACGAGGGGGGTGGGGCTTAGCTCCTGTCGGTGTCGAATTAATTATGAAAGGGCAACTTTCTGGATCGAATGGATTGCCCCATCAGCATCACATCCTCAGTGTGGGACCCCACGGAAAGGTAAACACACTGTTGCTCTTTGATGGTTCTTATTTTGTGTGAAGAACATTGGCAATTTTTGCAAAGTGTAGACAAAGTCAATATATTGTAATTGTGTCTTCATATTTAGGTCTTATTTTAATTTTTTTTTCCATTTATGAAACTACTACTAAATACTTAAATCAATCTCATTTATTTTTACTTATTTTCGTATGTAACTTTTTATTTAAGAAAAATAAATTCTTGCCGCGTCAACCCTAAGAAAACCCAAAATTTCCCTTTTTTAATGTTTTGGTTTTACTTTTTCCATTTATTTTATTTTGCCAAACTACGACCACCCAATTCATGTCACGTTAGTTTACAGACGCAATTGTCAGTTTTTAAAATTAATGTATCTTTTATTTTTATTTTATGAGAGGACTTCAAAGTACTTGCCACATCAGTCTAAAGATTTTATTTTATAAAGTTATGAGTCTAAAAGAAATGTATTTTTTATTATTCAAGCTCCTACTCCACAAACTACACCTTCACTCAATAATTGCTGATTTTTTTTTTCGCACATTTTGAAATTTTTTTTATTTGCATTTTATTCTGTTAACAAACTACTACTACAATCCAATACATCTTTATTCATATAGCACTTTCACAACAGCTGCAGCTGTAACAAAGCACTTTACGGAACATCCATCCATCCATTTTCTAATCCGTTTACCCTCACAAGGGTTCCGGTGTGCTGGAGCCTATCCCAGCTGTTAAACACTTAGCGCATTAGGCCTCAAAGTATTTTTTTTAACTGTAGTATTCTATTATACTTCCCACAGTAGCAAAATAAGCTATTTTTCGTGCTTTTTATATTTATTTTTTTATTTAACACAAAATTCTTGCTACATCAACTCACTGAAACTTTTATGTACCCGCACTTACAACAGTACTACAGTGATCAATGCATGCTTTCGGTATAATGAAATATGTGTAATGACATAAAACAGCATTCTTAAAACTAATATTCTATATCATGTAGAATTTACGATTGTCTCTCCTTGATATTGTTTTGGTGTTATGGACGCATTGCTACATATCAGCAATAACGATTGCACTATGTAATTATGTCAGTTCTATTACACACCGTATAGAAAATAATCGTTTTGATCCTTGTGTGATTGCAGGACCTCCAGGCTGTGATGACAGGCCAGCAGAAGCTTGTGTCACTGTGGCTCTTGTTGTTGCTCGTAGTAGCCCTGTGTCCAGGTGCGCAGTACACATACAGCAAGCGTGGCGGTGGTACACATAAGAGCGGAAAGAGCAACAAGGTACCTGCTTCTAAGGGTCACGGCCTCCCCAAGCCCGGCCTCAAGTGGGCGGGGGCGGCAGCGGCCGGCATGCTGGGGGGCACGGGCACCGGATACGGGCTGGGCTTCCTAGGGAGGCCCAAGTACGGTTCCAGGGGGCACGCCGGCCAAAAGACGGAATCCAGCGGGCGCCACGACAGCCATGGCCAAACGTTTCGCAATCAGTCGAGATGGAGGGCTTTTCTGAAGGCGGCGGCCCCTGCGCACTTGAGTAACTCCTTACTTTTGCTGGGACACGCGCTCACCTTCCTCACAGGGCTCTGCATGGGTGCACTTTGACTCGTGGAAATGGAAATAGAATAAAAGTTTGCAAATGATATTCCCTTTCGATTCATGTTGTTTACTTACTTATTTAAGAATACTGAATCCCGTGAGGCCCATACTTGACGTTTGTGGTTTCATGGAACACCACCAAACCAAACTGCCACAAAAAGTGTAAACAATGATGATGATTGCATCTAAATTTACTCGCAAATTAATTTAGTCTGTCGCGGTCTGTTTCGTTGGAACACAAAGCGCTTCTTCTGTTTGATCTTTATGGGTGGCAACAGGTGGTTAAACAAGATCTGCCAGAACCTCCCCCTCCCCCAAAGTTTTTAATTACCTTTTATTAATATAGAGTAGTGTAACCATGATCCCAAATCTATTAAATGTCACGAGATGATTCCCGCAAGTAAATCGGCTTTGTGTTCAATAAATAGGATCGAGAGTTTGCATGAAGTACATCTGTGAGTAAATTAAGATCATGATTGGAGTGAAATGCTTTTTGTGATAGTTCCGATTTTGTTGGCGTGTCGTGAGATTTTTTTTTTTTGCCACTGGATGACTTTGAATGTCAATCTATAACTCATCCAAATTTGGTGGTGACCACACACGCAAAGATTTGAAGTGATACATTTTGAACACGTTTAACACAACTGTCGGCACGACCATTTTCCGAACCCTGTGTGATTAAATTAATTTAGCATCATGGCTCACTTTTAAGAACCCGATCATTCTTAAAATGTTTGAGAAACGTAGAGTCATAAGGCAGATAAGTGAGTCAGAGAGAGGGATTTTGGACACAGAATTTATTTGATTACATACACATTGACGGCAAATTATAGTACATCATAGTGGTAGGAACTATCAGCTGCTGGCAAAAAAAAAAAAAAAAGATTGATGCAATCGAATTGAATGACGTAGTTTCAGAATGTCACAATTGGAAAGGAGAAGTGCACTTGTTTTCCATACGGGAAAGACAAACGTGTTGGGGGGGTAGCAAACATTCATTTAATTTCTATTTTGAATCACCGAAACTGAATGATTTGTGAATTCATACAAGTTAAAAAGACATAAACAAAACTCACTTCACAAGTTACTTAAGAATAAATCGTTACTGGGAAAAAAAAGTTGTTAGATTATCTGACAATGGTCTCTCTGGAGCTATGTTAATGAATGCATTAGTCCAAACACAAAATAAATCTATGGAGTGATTTAAACAGAGTACAAAGCAGATACTGTATGTGTAAAATAACAGCAATGTAAAGGAACCATACCGATCCAAGTCAAATGACAGGTGCAGGCTCCCAAAAAAAGCATTGCGTCAGTTTTTCCGTCGAGTTCAACCATGAAACCTGATGCGCCGATGTACGTCAAATGACAATTAGCTGTTGTGGAATTCATGGTGAGCAAAAACGTCTGACAACTTAACAGAATTGAGATATTTGCATGTAGGAAATTAACATCATAGCTACGTTAATGAATGCATTAGTCCAAACACAAAAAAAAAATCTATGGAGTGATTTAAACAGAGTACAAAGCATATACTGTATGTGTAAAATAACAGCAATGTAAAGGAATGTTGCCCTCTTAATTTAATCTTCCACAGGGTCCTCAGAATTGCTCGTGTAATTTAAACTTATATTACAATTCCAAAACTTCAGTTTTTCCGTCGAGTTCAACCATGAAACCTGATGCGCTGATGTACGTCAAATGACAATTAGCTGTTGTGGAAGTCATGGTGAGCAAAAACGTCTGACAACTGAACGGAATTGAGATATTTGCATGTAGGAAATTAACATCATGGGGTTTTTTTTCTTTTTTTCGGTCCAACCAAATTTCAATCTCTGCGTTGCCCTCTCAATTTAATCTTCCAGGGTCCTCAGAATTGCCCGTGTAATTTAAACTTATATTACAACTCCAAAACTTTTTTCCTCATTGTTTTTCATCATATTATTGTTTTAACTGAATCACGCCAGGGAAAACGTTTGCATCAAAATGCCCGCCGACAGCTGGCACACACTCTTTACACGACACCCCCGCCAAACCTGATTGCGCTCAACATCTAAAGCCCGGTTTGCATTGTTATACGAGCGATACTATCATCATGAATTGCAATATAAGCGCAAATTTAAAAACATATGTATTCAGTGATCAACAACATGGAGTGCAAATCAAAAAACAAGTGCATGTTAGACTAACTACTTCTTCGGGTTATAATCCTTTTTCAGCAAGATGCACGAGACATGGGACTCCGTCACCCTTGTGTTAGTTTGATGCACCTACCCGTACGTATGTGTGTGTATATGTACACACACATACACACACTACTCAAAAAAGTTAGGTACGTGTGTGAAATCTCAACATCCAAGGTTTTGAATACACATGTGCCATTTTCTAACAAGGAGTTGAATAGCCAAGTTCCAAACGGGTGTTTTCTTTCAGTCTTTTTGTTATCTCGGATCTCTTGGCGAGGAACTGCGAATCAATTCTTCGGTGCCGTCTTGGTTTAACCATGCCAACGGGTGCGAAGGGGCTGTAGCAAGACGACTGTTTAAATACCAATTCTGGTTGAACCGGGACGTGGGTTGTCCATTCAAGGATCAAAACAGCATTGGGCTCCATGTTAGAGAACAACAAGTGGTGTAAAAAGTATTAGAAACCATTGCATCAAAGCTTAGAGACGCTCAAAATGAGTTCACCTCTAAAGTTCAAAGTGCATTTTTGAAAGCTTCATGTCACTAAGCTTTTATGAGTAGTGTATTCTGTGATTGACTAAATAATGAGCTGGAAGGTGCAAAATTCATGGACGTTATCGAGTATATAGGGTACACTTTAACAGCATTACTGTATGAACACGTGCAGCTATAATGGAGGGCCTAATTGTTCTTACTGGAACAGGAACACGCTGAACAGCAGCATGAAGAGTGACGGGAAAAACTGCGCCACCCCAACGCTCGGCGGGCCGCTGCGACCTGTCTGGACCTGATGTTCGGGCTTGCGTTCCTGCAGGAATTGCTCGGAGTAGACCATGTAATTCTCCACGCAGCGCCGGGCCTTCATTTGTTCCACCAGGGACGGATAGCCGATCTCCTCAATACTCACTGTGTCGTCATCGTCATCTTGGATACCCCCAGAGGAGTTGGTCTTCTGCTCCTTGAGAAGATCCGTTCTGTTCATACATCGGGCCATGAATGCGTCGTAGGTCTCGGCTCTGGGCGGCGGCTTGTAGACGTAATCGCGGCCAAAGTCCTTCTCGTCGGTGGATCGTGAGCCGTAGCGGCGGTACATGTAGTTGTTATAGTAATGCTCTTCCTCGGGGTTACGGAAAGAGAAGTGCGGTCGGGGGAAGCGCCCCAGTCCATATCCCACCGCCATTCCCGCCACGGCGCCTACGCCCGCTGCCAGCATGGCCTTCTTGGCGAACCCCGTAGATTTGGGTTTGTAACCCATACTCTGCACAGAACGGGAGAAGGGGGACCCTCCCATTCCGGTACCGCCGTATCCGTAAGCGCCCCCGCCAATGTGGGGACTCAAAATCTTGTTATTTGGGTTTCCTTGGGGGTAGCCGAATGATCCACCACGCCCTGGGTAACCACCTGCAGCTGGATACTGGTAGGGGTTTCTGTTGGGATAGCCCCCTGCAGCTGGGTATCCTCCCGCAACTGGGTAGCCACCCCTGTTAGGATACCCCCCTCCGGCTGGGTAGCTTCCGCCGGCCGGGTAGCTCCCTCCAGCCGGGTAGCCACCCCTGTTTGGGTAGCCGCCTCCAACAGCCGGGTTCTGATTTGGATAATTCCTTCCAGGATTTTGGTTTGGATAACCTCCAGCAGCCGGGTATCCTTGGTTGGTACCGCCTCTGCTTGGATTCTGGTTGGGGTATCCACCACCAGCTGGGTTACGGCCTGCAGGGTTCTGGTTTGGATAACCGCCCGCGGGGTTCTGATTGGGGTACCCGCCAGCAGCTGGATTACGGCCTGCAGGGTTCTGGTTTGGATAACCGCCCGCGGGGTTCTGATTGGGGTACCCGCCAGCAGCTGGATTACGGCCTGCAGGGTTCTGGTTTGGATAACCGCCAGGAGGATTTTGATTGGGGTACCCGCCAGCAGCTGGATAACGACCTGCGGGGTTCTGGTTTGGATAACTACCACCAGCAGGGTTCTGGTTGGGATACCCACCAGCAGCTGGATAACGACCTGCTGGGTTCTGGTTTGGATAACTACCACCAGCAGGGTTCTGGTTGGGATACCCACCAGCAGCTGGATAACGACCTGCTGGGTTCTGGTTTGGATAACTACCACCTGCTGGATATCCACCAGGATTGGTTCGGCCAGGGTTCTGGTTTGGATAACTACCACCCGCTGGATATCCACCAGGATTGGTTCGGCCAGGATTCTGGTTGGGGTAACTCCCGCCTCCTGGATAACTCGACGGGTTTCTATTTCCTGCTCCAGGGTAATTTCCACCAGAGGGGTATGGATTGGTGTTCCGGTTGGAAGTGCTTCCCGGATTCGAGCTGGACGGTTTGGATTGCGATCCTCGGTTCCCCCAAGTGGAGGTGGAAGATCTGCGGCCGCTGCTGCTGCTGCTGCCCCCTCCTCTTCTGGCCCATGTGGAGTCGGTTTTTAGCAGACATATGAGGAGGAAAGACAGCAAAGCCGCCTCACGCCATCTCTTCATCATGGCCCTAAGAATAAAATAAACAGAATCATTGATTTTAAATGAAATAAACTCAAATAGCAACAACAATGACGGGGAACAACTGAAGAATTACATCGTATTCCATTCCATGAATTGGTCATCCGGCAGAGAGCTTTTCACCCGATGGTTTAGCAATCGGGATTTAATGTCCTCTCATCATATGGTCTACTAAATAAATAAATAATCCACGTCAAGATTTACAAGCGGGGACGGAAAGATTTGTTTTTCCTTGAAAATAAATTGTCAACAGGCAACTTGGCCGTTAGCAATTAACCAGTAGAATAAAACAAATGAATACCGGAATAGACTTTGTCGACTTGTCCCTAACGGAGCTATATAACATTAGTATTGAGTGTACCCGAATAATGTCCCACCGAGTGTTAGCGGCTATATTCCGTTAGTCGTCGTTAGATTGGAAGATTACGCCTTGTTGTCGTCCGTGTACAGTATTCTCCTTGGCACCGTTCTGAGCTGTGAGGGTTGGGTCTTTGGCTGCAGATAGTGCACTCGTTTTTTCACACACCCCAGACCGGACACAGGAATTGAGGCCGGATACAATTAGTTATTAGAAACACAATTCTGCTTGGTTGTACTATTTACGTTATATTGTTCTAATGTAATTCTGTGATTAATACAATGTGAACATTTTGGAAGGTCGTTTATTTTAATGTTTTATTTTATTTGCCATTGTGACGCCCAGTTTACAAAACAAGCGCATCTGTTACGCATGTGCAGTTTCAGGACCCAAAGCTGGGCGGACCGACGAGCGGCTCTCTCGTTGGTTCATGTCACCGTGGCTGTGGCGTCATCACGTAAACTGCAAAGATACCCGGATGAACTCGCGATACACCGTGGAAACATGTCGAAAAGGAGAGTACCTAGTGGGGGAACCGCGGACACGAAACCAGCTACAAAGCACCAAAGTCGCGGTGTTCATTGCTAGTTTTAAGTAAACGTAGGAGGCTATTTTAGTAAGTCCTTGAAGAGGAGCCGTCTGGTCTGCATGGGTGGCTAAAACCGCCCTAATCCGAACAATAGACCGAGCGGGACGAATCGAGAAAAGCGACGGCGTGAGAGGGCTTAAACCGGGACAGGGGTGCTGTGTCGGCTTCTCGCTGGGTTGGGGGATGTTATCCGTACTGTCTTATGGCAGACTGGTAGCCCGGGCTGTCCTCGGTGGACTCTCGCAGACGGACGGGCACGACTACAGCCTCGTTACCGCCAGCTATGGCTTCGGCAAGGACTTTCGGAAGGGGATTCTTAAGAAAGGGATGTGCTATGGGGACGACGCCTGCTTCATCGCAAGGAACAAGAGCGCAGACGTTTTGGGTAAGATTCACACCTCGATCGTGCACACGCTCAACCAGCCTCCAGGCTCCGGTTATACCCGGTTGACCTTCAGTGGTCTGTCCACTCCTGCACGTGGACTGACCTCACAATGAAAACACAACAGCCTCCACCCCCTCCGGTCACAATCGCTGAACGTTATCTCCTAGCTGGTATTTCACAACATTTGTTTCTTTCATTGGCATACATTCACTTTGTGAAAAGGACCTACAACGGCGTCATTTAATTGTTATAACATGTTCTGGAGGTGCGGTTTTTACGCCGGATACCAAACGACCTTTCACCTAGATACCTTCCGACAAAAAAACGACGCAAGATAATTTACTAAATCGAGTGGGTGAGGATATATAAACTCGTTGGAAGACCCCTGGTGATGAAATAAAGACAAATTCGAAGCCGTGAGAGAAAACAACAAGGTCAGAATGGTCGAGTATGGAGGCGGCCATTTTGCTAACAGCGACGTTAGCGCCGCTTAGCTTTGTTCGAATTGACTTTTGTTCACGGCTGTGTCTAATAAGCGAGTCTGTTCTTTTAAAAATGCCTTTCCTGTAAACATCGAGGCGTTTGTTCTAATTTCACGGTGTTTTAATGTACAAGACAACAAACACGCAAAGCCTGCTTGCAAACGTGCCTTGAAAATTGTTCGCTCTTTATTAAACATGTACTTATTAGGTGAGAAGTGCATAAATTCCGTAACTTGTGTGCAATTCAACCCTTTTCTGGTCATGAAAGGTGCGATTAAACATGAAAGCAAATGATGTCACAACATTCAAAGAGCGCTTACATAAAATATTACAAAACATGTGAACGGTTTGCATCAGTCAGTCTCCGGGGCGAAACATAATGGTTACATACCCGCCTTTGTGATGTGGAGGTCAGCTTTAGATATTCAATTTGTGACTTGATTAGATGCTTTTATAACCTAGAGTCAACTCCTCTACACGCCCCACTACTCTTGAATATTTTTTTCTGCACTTACATGCATTTTATTGTTCATGTTCTCTTTGTTCTAAAATCATCTCCCCAAAAGAATACCCTGGCTTCATCTCCAAGTCCTGTCCCGGACGCTTGCCTTGACTGGTTTACTGTTTACCTGACAATAACTGCTGCTCATCATTCACATAAATTCTAACTTTGTGACATCTCTGAAAGGCCAAAAACCGCTCCTCATCATTCACATAAATTCTAACTTTGTGACATCTCTGAAAGGCCAAAAACAAAGTCGTAAAGCCTGTCATTACCCAGCATCATGTTCCCCTCTTTGAAGATAGGTGTGCCAAATGTAACTTCCTGTTTGTCTTAACAGGCGTAGCGGATGGCGTGGGTGGCTGGCGGGACTACGGCGTAGACCCATCTCAGTTTTCCGCCACGCTGATGAGAACGTGCGAGCGTCTGGTAAAGGAGGGCCGCTTCACTCCCAGCAATCCAGTGGGCATCCTGACGTCTGGCTACTATGAGCTCCTGCAGAACAAGGTTCCGCTTTTAGGTGAGCCGCCACAAAGTTTCGATCCGCCTCAACACATACACACATAACATAGCTACAGCAGAGTTTCAGACTTTGAGTAATGAAATGAAATGAAAAGCTTTAATGAAGGTGTGTAAGATGAGAATGTCTCTTGGGCTCAGAGCTCCATGAGGTGAAGAAAGTAAGTCAATATTGCAGGAGGAGGCAAATACGATACCCGAGTCACGTCTCAAGACGTGCGGTCCATCTGCTATGGCTAACGTAATGGAACCTCGCTCTTGTCACCGCGTTTGTCAAATAAGCGGTGACAAATGGTGGTGTGAAATGTGGACTTGGACTCTAGTGCTGAAGGCTGCTCCGAATTTTGCCTCCCAAGGCTACAGTCGCCCAGGAGAATAAATAATAACTGAACACCCCAAGGTCCTGGTAAAGTGCACGTCACGCCACACTGCTCATTTTGTAGGGAGCAGCACCGCCTGCATCGTGGTGCTGGATCGACGGAGTCACCAGCTCCACACGTGTAACCTCGGCGACTCTGGCTTCCTGGTGGTGCGCGGAGGCGAGGTGGTGCACCGTTCAGATGAGCAGCAGCACTACTTCAACACGCCTTTCCAGCTTTCTATCGCCCCGCCGGGGGCCGAAGGCGTCGTGCTCAGTGACAGGTGGGTGCCGGTAACCCGCCCTGCACTGCGAAAATGGGTTTTTGACCACGCGCATTTCAAAAAATAACCCATCAACAAATAAGATCTGTAAATTAATCTGCGGCCGTGGCGCCAGCAAGCCTCTCTAGCAAGCTACCATGTGCAACGGTTAAGAGTTAACAAACACAGCGTCCAAGCGATCTTTTTCTCAATGGTGAAGTGCAAGAGCTCCAGTTTTTCATTTTAATCATTTTTTTAACCCCTTTCAGTCCAGAAGCCGCTGACAGCTCCTCCTTTGACGTGCAGCTCGGCGACATCATCCTCACCGCCACGGACGGCCTCTTTGACAACATGCCCGACTACATGATTCTTCAGGAGCTCAAGAAGCTCAAGGTGTGACTTCATTTTACATCAGCATCCAACATACTGTACGGATAACATTCCCCCCCGCCCCTCTTTCATGTTTTGCCCTCCTATTCAGACCACAAACTATGACAGCGTTCTGCAGACTGCGCAGAGTATCGCAAAGCAAGCTCACGACCTGGCCTACGATCCCAACTACATGTCGCCGTTTGCACAGTTTGCGTGTGACAATGGGCTGAATGTAAGAGGTAAGTGTTCACCTCAGACACGGGGAATGAAAATTTTATGCAGTAGTTGCTTGGCAACAAACATTATATCGAGTTGATTCAATCAATGATAGTCTCCTCTTTCTCGTCGCTCGGTGGCGAGTGTGAGCAGCCGGCTACTTGCTAAAGCAAAGGCCCCGAGTGTGGAGTCGAGTGCCCGAGTAGAGAAATTGAAGCATTGCTTCAGTTGGCGCTGTTGATGTCACATGACCACTGCACCACCACAAGTGCCGGAAATGTAACCCGGCTGCTTACTTGCTACGCTATCTGTCTCGTGTCTATTCTGCAGGAGGAAAGCCGGATGACATCACGGTGCTGCTGTCCATCGTGGCCGAATATACAGACTAGGGAGTGTGCGTGCTCGAATGTGTATTTGTGTGCGGTGGGAGCGCGTGGCGCTCGTGTGCGGGGCTCGCTAACCCCCTCCCCCTCCCGTCCGCACGAATCTTCCTCCGTCCTGCGGGCCCGCCCGTCACGACGCCCGCTCGTCCACCCGTGTCCATTTTGTTTTTGTTTCTTCCTCTGTTTGGTTCGAGTGTCAAAGGGGGAAGCGGGCAGCTAGCATAGTTCCATGTTGATCATGACGCAGGAGTAGCGCAACGCGGCACATAACGGCGTCTCAATTGCACATCTGTGAGTAAGAAGCGACATAGGACGAGGAGTAAGACAGGCTTTGCCGGTTTTTGAGAAAATAATCTACAGTTGGGGCTCGAATGTGTTTTTGTTGCTCCATTTGAGTCCGATGACAGAGGAGTATGCTTTGGGAAAGTGAATGACGGATGAGATAAGTAGTCCTTAAAATCGCTCAGAGGGCACGAAACAGAGCCCACAAGACTCAGTTGAGCCAACATACAAATGTCATTGAGGTTTGGGGCCGAGGGAAGGATGTGCCTCTTTCCGGTTGTAAATTGTTCTTTTTTGGGACTGTCTCCGCTACTTTTGGATTTATTTTTGTTCGATTTACTGTTGTGAGCAATGCGTTCACAGGCGTTTGATTAATCCCCACACTTCCACTTGCTGAGACGAACATTTGCCGAGATAGGAAAGGGAGTAAGTGTGCGTGTGTCTTGAGTACGAATGTCTGTCATGTTTTGATGTTACGAGAAATGCTTTTAGCATTTGTTAATGCTCGCGGTTGCAAACGTTGGTCATGTGTGAGGATGAAAAGATGTATATATATTTTTAAAATTGTGATATTTGAAAGCGTCTGCCCTGATGAAATGCTGTATTTCCTCCGATTGTGGTTCACTTGATGAACTCTTGGGGTGAGACCTTCATTTGTACACATGCGTATGTAATAAAAACCGTCCCAAAATTTAGCAATTCATCCTTTTTGTAGGACAGTAATTGTTCTGACATCGCCACCTTATGGGACTACATTTTACTGATGTTATTTAAGGCGAGGTGTTTATTTTTTCAAGTGCATGAGGGAACTATTTGAGGAAATACGGTATGTGTATGGTTGATGACAAAGTTGTAGTTTTTTTTTTTACTTTGTATTGTGTCCTGTTAGCGTTTATTGTGCATTTTGCTGCTTTTTGTGTGTGTGTGTGTGTGTGTGTGTGT